AATTAACCGAATGAAGGCGGCTTTCCAAGAAAATTCTATGGAAAAATTGTGAAAAATCGAGGAAATTTATTAAGACGAAAAACCTAAAATGTACAATTTTACTATAAAATGGTGATTAGTTGATTGTATGAGTTTTAGCTTTCTCTATGTAGACAATTTAAACCATTTATCCCTGTCCGCATTTACTTCCGGATCCAAAACTAGAGCCAATTGAAGGCAAGTTTACAGATTCACCAATACAATTGTTATGACAAATTATACATTGGCAATTTAAACTATCTCAATTGCCGTATAACAAAAAAAATACAAACAGATAGAATATCATCTGTTTAAGATTAGTTTTCGAAAAGAGTGAGTTGATGTAATCCTCAAAAAGCTGTCTAGTTATTCTACATAGCGTTATGATAGAATCAGTGAAGTATCTCTTCTCTCGTCTTGTATTCTTAGTAACATCATCATATTAAATTACTTCTTCACTCTTACTATCTCTCTCTTTCAATTTTCCCTTTTCTTTTCTGATTTTCGGTCATCGTTTTTTATCGTTTTTTTCTTATCTATTAGTTTTATTAGGCCTGCTTTTGCTTTTTAAATTTAATTCATTAGCAAAAAATGAAGCATTTTGCTTGGAAAACCTTTTATTTATTAGTTTAGAAGAATTTAAAAGTATATAAAAACATATATATTGTGTCTATACCGGTAAATAGACTATATAAAGTATATACTCTATACAGTATATATATTTATCTACATATAATTTAAGATGATTGAAAATTGTAGGCTGGTTTTTTTTCCACTCTCTTCTTCTCTTTCCTAGTTACTCTATTCCTTTTCAAAAATAAGATAAAAGAATATTTTAAATAGGTTATGAAAATTTTTCATATTAATTTATTATAGCTGTTATTAAAGAAATAACAAAAGAGATACTGTAACGTGATCTGGACACTGAAAAAATTAGCTTAGAAGATAAAATTTATGTAAAGAAGAATATTGGAAATATATACTGAAGAAAGAAGAATGCAGACTACACATTAATTGGCATATAATCATTCCTCTACTGGGAATATTAATACAAGAAGCATTGTAATATATAAATTTTTCAATACTCATTTTCTAATTCAACTTCTTTTTCATTATCGTCATCTTCGCTTTTCTCTTCTCCTTCTTCTTCTTCTTCTACGTTTTTCTCTTTACAAAATGCAATTCAACAGAATAAAGATTGGCTAATGGATGGATTAATAATTTTAATTCGTTGACGATTACAGCAGTTGGGGTGCTCTTCAAACCTTTTAACATCAGGACACCCCTGCTAAGATTATCAATTTAATGTTTCCTGTTTATTTCTATAGCTTCTCTCCTAGCGGTTCTCAACAAGTGTTTTTACGCTTTGTCTCATTTGTCTTTGGGTATTTTAGGTTCGGCTATAAAAATACCAATTGATGGGTATTCAATTATTAATTATCATGATGAGTGTATAACATATCTTGCTGATTATATCCGTAATCGGAGCTGTACAGGTGAAAGCGATATTATTCTATCATCCAGAAATGTTGACAATTTAATTTTTCTGGTCTGGTAGTCTTTAACAATAGTAAACGCCTTTTTTCTGATTAAGGTCTTAGGACGATGCTAAATTATTTTTGGCCAAAAAAAATTGTTACTTTTTTTTATATAATTTCATTTGTATATTAATTCACAAACAATTGTTTAATAATACAAAATAAAGTTTGAAGAACTAAATCGAATATTCAAACTAAACTTGGGAATTGTCCTAATAGGAAGATAATCAAGAGTGTGATATAGAGAAGGATAAAAAATATACAGAAATAGACGAGGTGAGAAACAAAGAGAGAAAGAGTCAGAGTGACAGAGAGAGAGAGAGAGAGAGAGAGAGAGAGAGAGAGAGAAAGAGAGAAGGGAGAGGGAATGGTGTAGGCGTGAGAGTAATGTATATTTTCGTCATTGAGCTTAATTTTGGAAAGGGTCCTTAGGGAAGTTTTGTAAAGTATAGAGAAATATTTTTTTTTTATAAATTTCAAGGCCTATAGGAATAGGGAAAAAGAAGAGGTTTTTAGGAGGAAAACGTATAAATTTACAGATTGGTCATGCGCATATGAAAATATGCCAGGGGCGTACTAATATTCCCTTTATATTTTCTACTGATGACAAATTCGGCACCATATCAAGGGAAGAGAAAAAGGAAACGGGAAAGAAAGAGAAACTGCAAGATAAAGAGTTTTTTTGGAACAGAAGAAGTTATATTTATAAATATGCATAAATATATATATTCTGTGTAGAGAGAGAGAGAGAGAGACAGACAGACAGAAAAACAGAGAGACAGAAACGAAGAGAAAGACAGAGACAGAGACAGCGAGAAGATGAAAAGAGCTAAGAAAAGGAGTGGTGAAGGGAAGAGGAAGGAAAGAAATGAATAAAGGAAAAAAAGAAAGAGATTATGTAAATACACGTTAACGCTTGTTGAATTGATAAAGAAGGGAATCTTTATATTTTTTGAGGTAGGGATATACAAGTAATATATTTGAGTAATATTTTACAAACTAATTTTACGGTGGAATGTATATATTTGTCTAAAAAGAGAATAATCCAGCGGCAAGGGGAAAGTAAAAGAAGAAATATTCAATAACGACAAATACAAGACAGTCACAATTTATTCATGGTATCAAAAAATTAATTGAATTTCGTATATATTTTATTTGAATAATGAGTTAATATAAATTCTGATCAGTAATTTTCTACATGTTAATGAAAAAATGCAAAGTCAAAAGGAAAGTTTCAAATTTCACTATCGCCAATTTAATCAAGCATTCTTTGACAACGCTTTTCAATGTATACGGTAATTATAGGAAGGCGATGGCAGCACGTAATGCTGTTGCAATTGGCTGTGCTTAAGCGTTTGATCGCGAAAGGTTATTGTTTTTATACAATTCTTACACACGAACGTCAATAAAAATCATTGAGTAGTGAACAGTTTATGATGACATCAATACCATCCAGGGGAAAGAAACCATTAGGAAGGGAAGAGGCGGGAAAATTCCTAACATAAGGAAAAGAAGAAAAACAAGATGAAAAGAGAAATCGAATAGTTGAAATAAATAAGAGAAGAAAAGGTGGGAGATATATGGCTAGAAAAAGGTGGTTTGGAGAGAGAGAGAGGAAGGGAGGGAGAAGGAAAAAAGGGGAAATATTTCAATAGATAACATAGCAATTAAAAATCTGTATTATGTTTTAGTTGGTAATTTTATAATGTATATTGACTTGGACTTAATCCAATTTTGAAGAAGGCAATTTCTAAAGTATTAGGCCTATGAATATTTAGTTTATTATAGTAATAGTAATTTATAAACTAGCTTGTTTTTAATAAGTCAGGGAGCACAAATGAAACAAACAAAAAATGCAACGACGAGCTGATGGAAGCTTAATGCGAGTTTCAAATGACTAAAACTTGTATAGTTTTATGAAAATAGCAAAAGTTAAAGAGTTATCTTTAAAATATCGATTAATCATATTTTGCTGCTTAGTAGATTAAAGACTCTTTTTCGGTATAAAGAGACGAAAGTTTATCTTCTTCTTTTCTAATTGCCAAGTTAATGAGTAAAAATAGAAGGAAAAATAGGAAAAGAATAAATGAGTTTAAATTTCCTAAAGGCCCAATTCTAAAACTTCTTTAGCGTTTAATTGAAATTTAATTCATTTAAATATTAAACAAGAGAAAAATGACTAAATATTAATTGAGAAATATTGTTTCATTACTTGCCAATTTGTTTCCTGTTTTTTGTTATTTTCGCTAAATAGACGTTTTTTTTTAGTAACGCCTCAACGTACCATTGTTTCTAAATTGATGTAATTTAATTGTAAATACTGCATTATACATACAAACATATCTATGTATATAAATATAGCTATAAATATAAATATATAAGTATATAGAGTACATATACAGTACATATGATATATAATAAATAATTAATAAATATTAACAATCACATTGTATTCATTTAAATACTTGTATCCAATTTTTTTAACATGCCTATAACTTTTACTTAGAAACTGTGAGATTGTTTCCTTTATGATATATATATATATATATATATATATATATACAGAATAACACTATACTGCTGTAGTTTTCAAGTAAACTAAAATATAACATTTATTGATTAGATAAGTGTAGAAAAGGTTAAAAGATTTCAAGTGGTATTAGTGTTTATTACTTGTATTTATTTGAGGGAAAATACTTTTCTGTGATTTTCTATTAGAGAGAGAGAGAGAGAGAGAGAAAGAGCTATTTAACGATTGAACGAAACAGTAAAAAACAAGAAAGAAGACAGCTTCTGCACAAATTATCCTTATTATATTTAATTTTAATTGATTTCTTTGATTTCCTAAATATTTCATTCAAGCTGCCTTTTAACTTTAATCGACTGTAATAAAATGAATAAGTAAACAAAACGGATGACAAACGTGAATGATACATCTAAACCAAAGAAATTAACTATAAACTATGCCCAATTAAAAAGCGGCTTTAAACGAATGATCCATCTAATAAGAATAGAATTTTATCGTATGCAGTGTACGTGCCTCGTTTTGTTTCTCCGTTTTGTTGCCATCTCTTCCTGTCCAACTCTGATGTATACAAACTTATATGAATATGTAAATATTTTTCGGATTTCCATATCTATTTTGTTTATTTATTCAATTAATTCATAGATAGAGATTAATATATCTCTAATTAATAGAGATATATTCGTTGCTTTACCTTTAGCGTTTTTTAATCATTTACCCATTTTATCGTACACCTGATAACATTTACTCTAAAAATTGATAACCAATACCAGATATACATCTTCCATCAGTCGATATCTTCGTCGCTCCATCTACGCATGCGCAATTTTTTGCGGCGTCAAAAAGGAACATTAGGCCTATTTTTAAAATCAGGTGAGCCCACTTCTGCCGATAGGTGACGTTACAGATGCACGGCATCCATTTGCAGTAGCTACAGCAGATTGGAACGGTTGAAGGTGAGTAGTTTTTACAAGCTAGTTGCGTTCTATAAAACAAATTGCTCTTTCGATTGATTATTATCGCCGAGAGAAAATTGAGATATCAGCGAATTACGCAATACCTAAGTCAAGGAAATCTGACAAACAAAATCGATTAGACAAATCCGTTTTATCTGTACGCAAACGGAGAATTTGATCTAGTTTCTGAGAGTGCATTTTTATTTCTGTCTGACAAACTTGACAAACCATGAGGGGTTTTTCAGGCGAAATTAAGGGCAATGAACTGTAGTACGAAATACATTTGCCAGCGGGTAGTTTGTCACTTTTTTTCTTCATCTTTTAATTACTGTTGCGTATGAAAGCGTCTACAAGTCAATTATGTATTCATTTATGTAAATTGTTGAACTGTCAAACCTCTTTAATCACCATCTGCTTTTCGGTACTTAATATGGAAATCATTAATGACTTGTGAAATCTAAGACTATAGTTTTAGTCTCTCAGCTCTGGTTTTCTTTCTTTCTCTTTCCTCTTGTTCTTAGTCTTTTCCATTTCCACTTGTTGTTTCCAACCGTTTCTTTTTAGCGTACAAACAATTCTAATCTAAAAAAAAACCAAAGCTATGAAAAAAATAGTGGCAAAAATAACAATTGAAAGAATAATAGCTACTAATTTTACTATTATATTCATACTTAGCTGAAAATGATCATTATATTTGATAACTCTTCTATATTCTTGCTATTCCCTGTAGTGTTTGCCGTTAGGCTTAACATGGATTTTATATCTCTTAAATAGTGGAAAATATGTACAGTATATACAGTCGCGATATTAAGTAATTATAACAAGAGTAAAAATATCTAAAATTCGAAATATCTTGATTTACAAATGAAGTTTATGGTTAGGAATAATTTTTTCTGTAAGAGAGATGACTTATGAGGCATCAGGTGATACTGAATAGGAATTTCAGTATTTTCTAGAATGCCTCCAACTGTCGATTTTGGGTTGATCTACATGTTCTTGTGAGTTGCAGTTGCATGCTCCTGGCGATTTTATGTGGTCTACCAGACAAATGCAGGTCATTTATTGTTTTAAATTGCTTGAACTGATTCTTTACATTCTGCACTGTAACTGGGCTGCAATTAAATTTTGCTGTTATGCCTTGAATGGTCAATTTTGGCCCGCTTAAGTGGAACAGGATATCTTTGCAGATTTCTAAAGATAGCTGATGCATTTTTTAATATTTCCAAAAGAATGGTATGTTGTAAGTTCAAGGGAACAATATTTGTAGACCAAATTACTTAATAGCTGTCTAAATTCATAGTATGGTAAAAAAGAAAGATAAATTGATTCTTAAAATATAGATATTTACCTGAAATTTTCCATCATGTTTCACAACCATACACTTTATTCCTAAATCAAAATATTTCGATTTTTAGACATTTTTACTCTTCTTATAATTACTTAATATCGCGACTGTATAGTATATACATACCTTTCTCTCTTCTATGTTGCGTGTAATCTGCATCTTTACCCTCTATTGCAGCTCGCTTGCCGTTTATTGTAAGTGTAACGTTCAGATTATTTAGAACATGTATATTATATTTTATCTATATATATATATATATAAAGATAGGAGAAGTGTCAACTAAGGCTATTCTTAATTAGCAAGTATGTTCTTTTCGCTAAACTAGTAGATAATAAGAGTAGGATCAAGAGAGATAGAAAATAGAAAGAGTAAAGAGATTTCTAAATTCTATCTTATTGTATAAAAAAAATGTGAAAACCGCAATATATTAAAGAAAAACCTCATCAAAAATATTTATTCATGAGAATTTTACCTTTATTAAATTAATGGAATCAGTTGAAATTACAAGATTCCCTCCGAAAAATCTCGTTAGCAATTTCTATAAGCATCCTTTCTTCTATGTTAATGTTTATCCATTAACCTTAATCTCTGGTTATTTTTTATGCTTTTCAATATTATTATTGTTATAATTGTTTGTATTTTGTCAAGAATTATGATAAAATTCGATAGCAAAGATATTTAATTCTTTTCCTTGGTATTATAGATAGAATAAAAGGATTTTAATCACTAAGGATTTGACAGATGAATCGAAATGTTACTAAAAGACATTAATGTAGGTTCTCTTGCTTTATTATTTATGCTTTAAGTGATATTTTTTAATATATATATATATATATATACATATATACATATCTACTCTCTATTTTACATACAAATTTATATATAGAACGATATAGCACCAGGGTATTACAATATAAAACCTATAAAAGCAAGTTTATGTATATTGTAAGAAAAAAATTTCTTTAGCTATTTTGTCTTTGTTCCTTCTAAAGTAGTATGGAAAAACTTGGAAAACATATTTCGTTTAGTTCATTTTTTCAGTTTAATTGTCTCTATTTTTACTTTTAATAACCATTAGTTTAGATCCTCTAGTCCAATTACTTTCAAATTCATACTACATACTCTTTTTTTCTCACACTCACTCGCATCCTACCATTTTCTTTTTTCTTTTATATATTTCTTTCTTTTATCTATTTTTCTCGCTTTCTCTCTCTCTCTCTCTTTTTCTCTCGCCGCTCTATTTCACTAATCCATCTATTCCTATTCTTGTTTTATTTTCTTTTCCATACTCTCTGGTATTCTCTCACTGTAGCTCATCCTTCCATTTTCTTTTATTGCTTGAAGTAGTTTTATATTGTTTTCTCTTTTATTGAATTTCTTTTGATGCTGTAACTTTGCGATTCATAGAAAAGCGTGGTTTTTCCAATAGACTAAGGCTTTATATTTATAAAGCTTTGTATTTATAAACGTTCTGCTCCTATTCATTTATTGACGTTTGATTCTCAAGGTGTTTCGTTCATCTTCACTCTTCCTCCCTAATGTGATATAGGCTATTGTTATAATTACTAGATTAGATCGCATTAAGTCGAAACTATGATTTTACTTGGAAATATAATAAATAAATCCAAAGGTATTGTATACTATGGGCACTGTTTATTTATACAACGCTATAAAGTTTAATTAAAGCTGATTAAATGGATTAATGATTAAAACAAAATGGAGATTAAAAGATAATAAGAGGAAAACATTTTAGAACGGTTACGTAACTCAAATCAGATTATAAGCCTATAGAGAGTGAACTATCGAAAGGGAATATTGAATATTTGATTCATTTATTTTATTGATTGAACATTGAAGCAATTTTTATTTGATTTATCTTTTAACAAGACGTTTCGTTGCATCGAAGCTTTTAAGTGTTTGTTTAGCGTTCTTTAAAATCAAGCTTATACATCTTACAACTGCATACTAATTACAGTATAATAAGAATACTCTATTCAATGCTATGTATACTTTGAACACTAAACATGGTCTACTTTAGAACTATAGAATTTGTAAAGTTTACGATTCATCGTATGTTCCCCTTATTGTCAGTATTTGAATTTTGCAGCTTCTACTAGCAGAATGCTTCTACATTTGAGCGTGTATTTTTTTGTGTAAAAAGTGAATAATTATTAATAGAAACTTAAAGGATGCTGAATGGATAAAGTAATGCTTCATTCAGAGTATCAATTCTATTACTGTTAGGGCATATTTTTGTTTTTGACCTAAAATAATATATAGTGAAAGATTTTTTTTTCTATTTATGCTTCCAAATATGGGTCTTATCGATTTTGTTTAAAGTATCCTAAAAATTGTTAATACTCATTCTATAGAATATACAGTATATATAACTTTTCATATACAGTATTAACTGTATACTATATCAACTCTATCTGTAAGCCAGTTTTCCATAAGAGAAATGTCTATAAAGAAAAGACGACCGACTAAGAGAAATGGAAGAAAGGTGAATTGATTGTTAGAGCTGGAGAAATAAAACTAAAAGCAAATGAGAGAAAAAGTATAAAGTATACAAAAAAAATGAAGTATGTAAGAGAAGAGATTCTAATATATAGGAAGATACATAGACAAGAAAGCAGATAGTAACAGAAGGAGAGGAGAAACAGAATTAGCAATCGTTATTACTATAGTAATTCCAAATTATTTTCACCAAGTTTTCTATTCAATGGGAAGATTCAAATGAATTATATCACTAAAATTACAACAAATCCAAAATAAAATTTCTCCGCAAAGAAAGAATTGACTATAGAAGACGAGTGTAGAAGGAGAGGAGAAGTAGGGTGAGGGAGGGGGGCGGAGAGAAGTAGAAGTGAGAGAGTTGTAAGAAAGGAAAAGAGAGAGTAGATAGGGAGATAGAGAGGAAGGAGACGAGGGGGTGAGATGGGGAAATTAGATGTAATGACAAGAATCTATATATATATATATTTATATATATGCTTAGTATTTATTTACTTGTTTATTTTAGCTCGAAGGTAAACAGTTTGTTATAAATTTGTAAGAGTTTTAAAATGTTTATTGGTAGTTTTTTTTCAGTCCATTACGTGCAAATTCTGAGAAAACATTGACTTAATAATTAAAGAAGTAAGATCTAATAACAGTCTTTATAACACAGTATAGACTGTATATAAAAAGGAATGTTTTACACGGCAAGTTCACGTATATACATATATGTATTCATAATATACATATCGAATGTGTAGTTTATATATATAAATGCTAACAATAATAATAACAGTAATTGAGCGTATATCTACTCTATCTCTGTCTATCTACCTATCTATCAATCTATCTATCTGCCCAGTATATCGGTGCATCCCTCCTTAAACTATTATGAAATTAGGGAATGAAATAATAACAAATTTACATTCAAATAAGGAAAAAAATTAATTAAGGAAATATAAAGACTGTACGATTGATTAACAAATTAATCAATCTATTAGGTCTAAAATATTTCTTTACAAGCGAAATAATAATATAAAAGTCAAGTAGATTAACTTAGTAAACCTCTTATTATTTATATTTTGTCATAAAGGAAAAAGTTGTCCCAAATAATAACCATATAGACAAAGTAAAGCTAGTCAACACGCAAATCGCATTA